ATCTTCACTACCAACTTCACCATCAACTTCGCCATCTTCTTCGCCATCATCTTCATTACCATCTTCACTATCATCACTTTTAAATTGTTATTTAGTACAACTAGAGACGGTTTTAGTATTAGAAAATTTCATCGTTTATGTGATGATAAAGGTTCAACATTAACAATCGCAAGATTGAATAACAATTGTCAAATAATTGGAGGATATAATCCTGTTAATTGGAAACCATTTGACGAGTTAAAAACATTTGATAGTTTTATATTTTCATTCTTTGAAAATGATGATAATAGAAATAGTGGTAGAAGTGAAAGTAGTGGTAGTAGGAACTATAATGATGATTATAATAATAGCAATAATAATGATGGGGATGGGGATAGTAATAGGATGAAAGAGAAAGATATTATAATTGCAAGGGTTCATGATTCAAATAACGCAATATTTTACAATAGTCAAACAGGGCCTGGATTTGGTAGTGGGCCTGATTTATATATAAAAAACAATTTATTAATTAGTTTTCATTCATCAACTTATCCAGACATTGAAAAAATCACTAATTCATCACAAGCTTATGAAATCGAAAAATATGAAGTATTTCAAGTCATACGAAAATATTGAATTTGAAATTTTGAACCATGCAAACAAATTTATTTCTTCCAAGTTATTCTAAATTTTATTATTTGAAAAATTTGATTTTTTTAATTACTTTGCAAAAAAAAAAATAATAATTCGAAAAAAGTTAAAATAAAACTTGCAATTTTATTTTATTTTACCTTATTATTAATATCCATCAGTGTCTTGATATCTTTTAATAATCACATAACCACTCTCTGCACGTTTAGATCTCTCTTCAAGTGAAGGTATTCGATCAATCATTCTTACTGATAACAACTCTTTAACTTTTATAATCATACCAACAATATATGGTGTTTGTGAATGATAAACAGTATGTCCTATTTTACGTAAACCCAATGCTTCCATAACCCTATGTGAAGTTTGTGGCAATCCTATTGTGGAACGTTTTTGTGTTATAGCAAAATAGTTACCAACTCTTGAAGCTTGCTCTCTCTCTCTTTTTAAAAACTCCCTATTTACATACTTTCTTGATGTATTAATAAACCTTTTATTATTCTTATTATTAAAGTTATGGATGTTATGATTAATATTTTTGTTAATAAATTTGAAAAAAAAAGAAGTGAGAACTTGTTTTGATGAAGGATGGT